AGGCTGGCGGCATGGTACTGGGAGGGGCGTGTTAATGAGAGCTGACTCCCTTGGTCCATCCTGAGCCAGGGCAGTAATGAGAGGCAGGATGAAGGGAGAATTAACTCTCAAGTTAGATAAATGCAGGCTAATATTGTGGAAAAATTCAAGTTATAAAATATCTCCAATTTGAGCGGTAACTTCAACCGAATTTTACTTTTTAGACTGTTTATTTTTTTCTGATTATAAGACTAATAACAGGCTATGAATAATTAAATTGTGGTGTTTTCATACAAAGGAAGACAACACAGCAATGAGAATAAACCAACTACTGCTACACACAATGAAGACAAAGCTCACAACCATAACTGAGTAAAAGCCGGACACAAAAGAGTGTATATGATTCAATTGATCTAAAGCTCCAAAACAGGCAAAAGTCATCAATTGTGGAAGAAGTCTTTACCAACCAATACCTTTAGATATACTACACTCATTTTAACAGCTTCTTAGTTTCCTATCTTGCAAATAGACCATGATTTATTTAACTAGTCCCCAATTCAAGGATATTCAAGTCACTTCTAAAGTTTTGCTCTTACAAAGAATACTGCAGAGCAGTCTTGCACTTCTACTTGAACTCTCACAGAATGAGAATAGGGAGTTTGTCTCCCAATTTTAAGAGTATTTCTTATACTCTCACTGTATTTCTAACATTGTTTCATAGATTTATATATATAATTTTTCATTAAATATGGTTTCACTATAGAAAATCTGGAATACACCACAAGACACAGATAATAATATCTAACAGATTTCACTGCTTACTCTGTGCCAGGCAATGTTCTAAGCACTTGATGTGTGTTAACTCATTTAGTATGCCTGACAACCTACAGGGCAAGGCTCTATTATTATCCCCATTTTCCTTAAGAGAAAACTGAGGCAAGGAGAGTTTAAATAATTTACCCAGGTCACATAGCTAGTAAGTAGTGCATCTGCCTCCAGAGTCTATGCACTTTACTTCTTCATTATTAAAGTCACCCAGAATCCCTTCTATAACAATAACAAAACGAAACCCAAACTCCTACCATGGCCTAGAAGGTCCTTACACAGTCAGGAGCCTCCACACCTCTCAGAGGTCACCTCTTACCACTTGTCCCCTTGCTCTAAGACTAAAATATTTACTATCTGGCTTTTTATAGACAAAGTTTGCCAACCACTGTTATAGATTCTTACAATCAGACAATTTCCTATTGGATTAATTACAATACTGCCAAAACTTGGTTGTAATTAGACACAGAAACAGCACTCATTGAGTCTACCACTGGACTCCCGCGATTTCTACCTTGTGGCACATTTACAAATCAACACCAATCTTGCACTCTTTGAACCTCTCACTCTGGTCATGCCCTCTGCCCACAATACCCTGCCATCTTTCCACCTAGGAGAACCTATTCAAATTCAAGGCTTAATTCAAGTTCCATCTCCACAAAGCAAAGGTGCTAGGTCACCCCATTGGAAGTGACACTGCTTTCCCTGAAGTACCAAAACATTCACACTTTAATGCTTTTAAGGCAACTGTCACACACTGGCTAGTTTCATGAGCAGCAACATCAAATAGCATTGAGACCTTAGGCTTGGGGCCAGAATATCTGGGTTTGGGTCCCAGCTCTTCCATTTACTAGCTGTGTGACTTTGGACAACTTACTTAACTTCCCTGTGCTTTTTTTTTTAACCTGTAAAATGAGGATAACAGCACAAAGCTCATGGAGTTATGAGGATTAAATGAATTAATATATGTCAAGTGCTTAAAACAATGACTGGCATAGCAAGGGCACCCACTGTTGGCTACTATTATTTTATTATTTGGGTATTCACAACATCCTCCCAACAGAACTACTCAGCACGGAGCACATGAACAACAAATCCTCAGGGTCATAACATGTAATTTTCATTCACACTGCACCTGTACACTGCAGATATAGCAACCATTTCTTTTTTTTTTTTGCTAAGGAAGATTCACTCTGAGCTAACAACTGTGCCAATCTTCCTCTATTTTGTATGTGGGTCGCTGCCACAGCGTAGCTTGATGAACGGTGTGTAGGTCTGCACCTGGGGTTCAGAACGTGTGAGCCCTGGGCCGCCCAAGCGGAGCCTGGGAACTTAACCACTAGGCCACCGAGCCAGTCCCTAGCAACCATTTCTTGTAAATGAATTTTAAGTACCAGGGCATAGTGCAAAGGACTGGGATTTAAGAAATACTTGAATCCAAATCCGAATTGCAAAATTTGCTATTTTGCTTGAGGCAGGTATTTAACGTCTCTGTGCCTCTATTTCTTAACCTGTAAAGTCGTGAACCCGTACATCACAGGGCTAAGACCAAACGACATAGTTAAGCACTCAGCATCAGGTCTGGTTTATAGCAGACACAGCACAAATTATAGTTCCCTTTCATTTCTTCCCATAAAGTAAATAATTAAAGTTTCTGCAACACTTTCTTAGAGCCCAGCCATGACCAGCTTACCCAAAATTAATGTAATTCGTTAAATGCAAAATGAGCTTACTTAAAATGAAGCTCATTTATATTTCATGACAGAAAATCTAAACTCTTGATAACATAAGAACAAGAAGCCATCTGGTTTTTTAAAAGACATTTTTTAGACATTAAACACATTTCAAAGACATTTTTCAAGTCGTTTAAGGCTTCTGCACTGAAGGTGCAAGGCATTCACTTGCCATCAATTTATCGCGATAGCGAGGGATGAAAACGGCGTTTCACCCGAAAACCAGGGCAAGGAATACGCAGCAAAACAGGGCGGGTTACAACAGCCAGACCGCTCCAACACACACAACACAACTATGTGTCAATACACTCACTGAACAATCACTTTCTAAAAATTCTGTCAGGACTCTCAAAAGCAGCCCTGCTACGGTCCATATGAAACTTCGTAGACTACAAAGTCGACCAGATGGGGGACAATGCCGCCCAACTGTATCCCATCGCCCAGCCCATTCGAGCCCGTGCCCTGCTTCATAAAACACTGTGCGGAAAAGTTGCTTTTAAAATCACGATTTGTAAACATTAAACCAGTTTAAAACCCGAAAGCAATCCGAATTCGGGGAGAGGCAGGTAGAGGAGGGAGGGAAGCGATCCCCAACAGATGAAGTTATCAAATGACCATGCTCAACCCACATCTTTACGCTCTTTCTCCTCGTTTACGTATTTACAATAAAACAGCGAGGCTGCACGATCTGTCTTGGATCAAACGCGGTTACCATTAAAGCCTCAAAATCAACGTCTCAATCTCAAAAGATGTTATAAGGAATCGACTCGCCACTTTGTCAATCCTTTAAACTCAAATTCTATATAAAGTCTGAGAGTCTTGGTCGTTCCTCACCCCCCTACCCGCCTCCGCCAGGGAAGATAAAGGACCAACTCATCCCAGAAATTCAGCACCAAGGACTCAATAAGCAGCCAAATCTCAGCAGCTCACACGCGCTGGCATCCCGGGAGAGGCAGTGGGAATCACTTCGAACCACCCCAAATCACCTCACCACAGCGCTACTGAAATCTCAGAGTAGACTCGCCCTTCCCGAATAGCAAATCTTCCATTAAGACAAATCCTCTCCCCTCACCCCCTCACCTCTCACGTCCCGGAGCTCTCCAGCCGTTAAGCCAAATCGCTCCTCAATTGCTTCTAGCGCACACCCGAGGCAAGAAAGTTCAAGAAGAGGAAAAGGTGCCACTGGACAAACCTTTTGTGGCGCCAGAGCCTGCCACACCAGCCTCCGGAGGGTGCAGGAACCGGTTACCAGTGCCTGCCTTCCTGAAGGGCAGCGGGGAAGACCGTTAAGACCACTCAACGTTCTACAACCGTCCTCGCACCGGAAGTCGGGCCTGACCACGTGACGCACCCCCCGCAGTCCCACGGAAGCTCCCAATCATCAGGGACCACCCGTGGCGCGCAGGTTCCCACGCGTGCGGCCAGCCGCTGACCAATCAGGGGCCGCTACCAGACACACCTCGGCCATTAACCGACCAATCCCGCGGGTGCCTGCGCAGCCCTTGGGGAGCGGGACGTTGCTAGGGAGACAGCCGAGGGGCGGGGCTTTGCTTTTCACTGCGCAGCGCCAGTGCCGGCCGCCCAGCGCCTGTCGCTTGGCGACGGAGCTCAGGTTTCCTTTCGCGGAGGCTGGTGGGATTGGAACCCGGTGCGAGACCACAGGCGCGAACCTCCAGTGCTAGAGGGGTTTCTGCGGCTGCGCAGGAGCGCCGGCGCGCTCTCGACTCTTCCGGCGGGAGCGAGGCAGGCGTGTGGCCTCCCCGCTATCCTTGGTTGGTTCTTTGAAGCTTTTTTTTTTTTAATATAATTCCGCCCCTGCGCCCCCCATGACTCACCACGGACGTCGACGTTGACTCGATCGTGGGTGTGTGCATGTCAGTGTTGGAATTTGAAGGGCGAGAGGGGCAGGGCCTTAGCAATCGACCTTAGCAATCGTGTTTTGGTACTAACAGGGGAAAAGTTATTTTAAAAAGTTGTTACCTCTCCACACAGACCTTGGAGCCAGATTTGCTGGGTT